TGCAGCTCTTGTTTTGCCCTTAATGGCAGCTTCTTCTTTCTTACCGAAAGAGATTTAGTCATTTTTGCCACATTTTAGCCTATTACAAGGTAATTTGCTCTTTTGAGGGATATCTAGACTCATGGTCACTGATAAGATCCTAAGGGCTACTACTCCCATCAGGTAAGGAACATGTTTCACTGACTTCCATTCTCTACGTTCCAATTTTCTTACTGGACTGAGATAACATCTATGACCCATAGTTTCTTAGTCCACTAACAGCTGGAAATGCAGGAACACTTAAAATACTTACTATACTTTCCTCTTGAACTAACTTCCCTCCCCAAAACATAAACTTCAGTAATCCAGGAACAACTGAGAAGGGGTTCCTAAACTGATCCTCTCATCTTGGCAAATATAAGTCTTATAAAATTCCACCTTCATCTGATATTTTATCAACACATGAAATCTGAGAACTAGAAAGTTTTGTAATTTGGGTGCAGATATTAATAACATCTCTAATCAAGAGAAGATATTTGAATTTTAATCTCAAGCCTGTTCAAAAATGAATATTTCTTTTCAAAGCAAATGTTTCCTGGACAACTTACCAATAATCTGGTGGTCATTGCTTATCTGAATTTGAATTTATTGCCAGTTTGTACTTGCATTATTTTTTAATAAAAAAAATAAATTATTGTATTCATTTCTAAGTCTTCTTTCCTGTAAGGTGAACTTGTAACATTTTTTTCTAAGTTCATGCTTTGTTGCTGTTTCCCCCACCAGGTTTCTTTCTCATATGTTATTATTAGTCTGGCTCATTTTTCCTAATCAGTCTTCTCATCTACCCAGAGCATTCATAACTTGTAGTTTGGAGAGACTGCAAATGACACCAAAGAGCAGAAAAAATTATTGTTTTTCCTTTATTCTGTTGTTCAAGCCTGCTTCATGGTTATTGTAGGGCTGGTTGAATGTACATATTGGAAAGAACTGTTGGCATTTAACAACTCTGAAGATTATTTCCTCTCCCTTTTTCTGTTCAGATAAATCAATTTGGTGATTAAGGCTAGGTGAATGATAAAATTGCTAACAGGAAAGGCAACTCAAAGCAGTTAATACTAATAAAAGGGAAAAAAAGCTTTCTGATCTGAAGATCAATGGAAGTATGCAGGACAGGACTCAAAAGCCTCTCAGGTTATCCATACAGCAAAGAACACTCAGAAAATTCAACCAAGACTGTAGGAGTCCATTAATAGTCATCAGGATTTGTGACAAAAAGTTAAATAAATGGCTGAACTCTTAAGGCTTCAAGGCCAGCTTGCTCCCTGCAAAAAGATAAACGAAGGCACTTGTGGGAAGTGCTGTTGCAACATTTGATCAACAATGTAGCATGTGCCAGTGCCAGACCTTCTTCGGGGTGTGTGGCTGTACTTAGAGCAGACCTCCGAACAGAACAACTTTTGTTCAGGCTCTCAGGATGTCCCCAGGTGCTCCCGTGAAGCCCGTGCAGCCACGGGGCACCGAGGCAGTGGTGACCAGGCTGCCCATCTCCACCGCGGTGCCGGGTCCAGCATCCATGGCAGTCACACAGGAGAGAAGCGACACCAGCTCTGAGGTTCTCCTCATGTCTCCTTGGTTCCTCTTGGCTGGCAGCAATGTAATTTTGGATACTCCTCTTTGTAGCCTTTAGCAGCTGATAGCGCTCAGTGTCCCCATCCTATCTCACCTCTGTGAGTCATCAGGATTTCTTCACTGCTCTTTTTCTCCAGAAATGGGTGTCTTGCAAAACTGCACTCAGATGCGCTGGGTTGGGTAATTTGGATGCCAATAGCATAGTCAAAGCTGACAACTCTTTTGCTGCTGTGTGCTTCATCCATCGACCCCATGCCTAGACATTACCATTCATTCTCCATTCACAGCAAATTCCAGCCTTTCTATTACAACTGTCTACATCCAGAGGTAGAGAAAACATTCTAAATAGCAAGCACACCCAAAACCCACACATCTCTGCTAATGAATGGGACAGGTCACTAGTGATGAAGAACTGTAAAAAGGCTGAGATTCTCAAATCTCTCTTTCCCTTGTTCTTTGCTAAGGTCAGCTCTTAGGGTTCACAGAGCTCTGTGCCTAGTTTGGCAAGGTTTGGAGGAGGAGACTTTAGCAAATTTGGCAAATTATGTTTGTCAGTCCTTAGGGCTGAACAGGAGCTGCTTGTAAAGGTGCTGAGGACAGTGAGTAACTTCACTGTACTATCACCTTCTAAAGGCTGTGTCAATTAGATGGGATTTCCCGTTACTGGGAAAAAAACAAATGTCACATCCATCATCAAAGCAAGGTTCAGGAAACAGCAGAGTAGTCATCCTTACCAAGTGTCTCTCTCAGAGGAGATAATGAAGGAAATGTTCCTGGAAGCCGTTTCTGGGATGGCAAAGGACGAGTCAATTCAGAAAAACCAGCACAGTTCCACCAACACAATTGCCTTTGGTCATGAGAAAATTTGGTCTATGACTGAAGTGATAAGAGCAGCACATACTGATTTTAGCAAGGTCTTTTGGTGTGACATCCACAGCATTTTGGACTACTTTGTAGTCCAGCAGGGACTGGGTAAGTAGATGAGGTGGATGGCAGTCTGAACCACTCTACTCAAAAAGGAGTGGTGACCAGTCTGAAAGGAAACTGGCATCTGGTTATGAGTGATGTTCCTCGGGGCTGAGTAGGGGAGTTAGACTAGAGGAACTCTAGAGGTCATACATTTTCCTCTGATTTTGTGATGAAATCTTGCAGGGCACTCCTTAGAATTTGGCTCCTCGTATTGAAACCACAATTTATTTAGGTTTCTGTGGATTAATGGGTTAGACTGCAGCCTTTCCTTGATTCTGAGCTCATGCAGCTGATTCTGCATGATATGAAGTGGCACGGCACCATGAGGCATTTCCAGCTAAGCTTCTCACTTCAAGATCTTCTGCTACGGTGTCCTGATCAGCAGTGACATCCTCCCAACTCCAGAACACAGGCGTTGCTTGAAAACCATCCATTCTCCACGCTTCATGATCTGGGCACTTGTAATTAAAAGCAGGAGGTGAAAATGAACCAATATTGAAAGAGAACTTCTAGTAAGCATCATTTATTATTTTAGGCCCACATCCTTTTCTTGGAGTGTCCCCATCTCACAGCTGTTCTGATGCAGAATAGGCTTTTCTTTACAGTACTTGTGCAGTCTTTTGACTTCACTAACTCCCAGTTAAAACAGTTCACACTTGTGCAGGGTGTACCTCTTTCGTGTAACCTTTATACATTCCTCTCTCTTTGTAGTACAACATTAACTAATTAATTAAATTAACAGCTGGTTTCTTTATTTCCATCTGGAAAATTTACTCTGCTCCAGCTCCCCTCCCTAAAGTTAAACAACACTGAACAAACTTTCTTAAGATACAGGCTTTTCATTGTTCTCTTTGCACAAGATCTGGTCAGATACTGTTGGTCTTTAAAAGCTGTTGTATTCGGCAGCAGAAATGCACAGACTTCACAATTCAATCAGAGTTTAGGTTTAGACACATTTTCCAAATCTTTATATGATTACTTTAAAGTTTTTGCATTTTTTTTTCCCATAAAAATATGTTTCACCTGGGATGGAGTTTGCATGCCAACTATGTCACTAGAGTTGTTTCCTGCTGCATTTAATAGTACTGTAATGATTTCACAGTTAGCTTTTTGGATTTTGCTGACCCGCAGAAGCATCTTGTACAATCTATTTTGTGCTCCTATCTCCTGTCGGGTCTACACAGCAGGCAAAGGCTCTTTCAACCCCTCTTCTGTTATTTCTCAGGTAATTGCAGTAGTTATTAGGAAATGTAATGTTTATATAGCCTTTAGCATCTGGGCTGTATTATTTTCTCATGCATTGTGTATCTAAGATACTAGATTGAATTTGGTCTTTAAAGGCTGTGTTATTCTCATTAAATGGCTCGAAACAGAATGCTGTAAAGTAGCACAGGTTTGGACAGGACAAAGTACAGACTTTGTAGCCATTCAGTGGCTAGATGGAAACATAAGCAAAAGTGATTTTTTTTTCTTTTGTGAATATTTTAAGGATTTTAAAATATTTAAAAGATTTAAAAGATTTTTAAGTTTTTAAGCACATAGAAATCACGGTTGAATCTTTCTGTAGTTTTCCCAGCTTCAGTTGTGTGGAATCACATTTGAAACTCTTCTCGTTTTGCGGATGTTTTGGGAGTGCTGTAGTACACACCGAACCTGAACTCCAGAAAGCTCTCTTCGGGTGTCTGCAGTGGTGCAGCGAGTTTAACTGAGTCCCAGGTCTCGTGTTGCCCTGTATCTAAAGTGTCTTATTTTCACGTTGTGCCTTTCCTGAATCCGGCCCAGCCGGTCTGGACCTGAGGGGTTCCGGGACACGCTTGGCCGGGGGATCCGGCGCTGCGCGGGTCCCGGCGCGGGCCCCCGACGGCTGCTCCCCGCGCCCGGACAGAAA